TATTTATTTATTTATTCATTCATTCATTCATTCATTCATGCATTCATTCATTCATTCATTCAATTTTTACCCCGCCCCTCTAGACAACGTCTACTCTTGCATGTATTGAAAGCCTGTTTAAAAATTGAATGTGCTATTTCAGGAACCCTGCCAAATGTAGCACCATGGTTTTCAACAAATAATTTTAAAAATAAAGGGGCAAAGCTGAATTTCAGATCCTCAAAAAACAAGGCCAGTGGTTATATGAAAGAGGAAGTTTCCTGTAGCAGCCTCTCAATTGTGGAACTGTCTTTGGAGGGAAGGGAGGTTTGCTTCATCATTAATGAGACCTAAAGCAGGTGATTCAATTCCCCCATCATTAGAAGTGGGAGTTCCTATAAAAGTTAAAGGATGACTATTTACCTAGTGTGACCTTGCCTCGTTTGGTATTAGTTTACACCAGTTTTGTGCTTGGTCATCAGGAGGTAAATCTGGCTTTTATCTTTTAAGTCTTGTGGCTCAGCCACAGATCTGCATTCTGTGAAGGAAAATATTACAAAAGCAGGAAAGACACTTTTCCCTAAACATACATTTTGACCTTGGTTTCTCAACAGATGGTGAAGAAATATCAGCAGCTTGGCTTTTTAAACTATGTTTTCATTTGTTTCTAAAGGACTTCCATACTGTAATGTCATTGTACATTGTTTTGGCAGACAAAAATTAATTTATAAATTCTTCTATTTAAATAGTGAGATCAGTTTTGCTCTACTCACCAGAAACTATGAGAGGTTCGTGGTTATACTGCAAGCCCAGTTTTCAGAATACAATGGAAACTAAAAGCATCTTTAAATTATGAGTCTTTATTTAGAAACACATTGGAGCAGGTATAGTGGAATGCAGCAAAATTGCCAAAACATCAGTTATGATGTGGAAAATCTTTGTGTTCAAATTTCTGAGTTACCTCTATTATAGTTTATTGTTTTCATCTTTGTTGAAGATGCTTGGGTGCTCTTCCAACCCTTGTGAAATTATTTACCTATTTGCCAGAGTGAACTCCTGGGTAGATTTCTGTGTTCTTTTGTTGTTGTTGTTTGGTTTACCAGTTACTTTCAAATTAAAGAGGGGGGGCACCTTTATCATGTCAATTACTGCTTCTGTTCCAATTGTATTATCTGTATGTTGAATACACAGAGATTTTTAATTTAATGTTTGACCATGTTTTTTAAAGCATTTTGTGGGAAGACTGGGAACCCCAGGAGGGGCACTGAAAAGGGACTTGGAGGACCACATGCTGTATTTTGCCCATCCCTGGTATGTTTCTGTATGTTGAATACACAGAGATTTTCAATTTAACGTTTGACCATCTACTCATGGTAAACATACTGAAAAGCATGTGACAGAGATATTTTAAAAACTTCTATAATGCATCTTTTTTTGGTCACATAAATGGTTTTCTGGAGAATTTTTAGCACTTCTTTGTATAACCAAAAATTAAGCAATCAGCCCAGTGAAAAAATATGGGATGAGTTATAGTGTCAGTAAGCTATTCCGTGTGTGCTTGTTATGTGCCATCGAGCCAGAACTAACTTACAGTGTCTCTAGCAGGACTTTCAAGGTAAGTGACATATTTAAGGATTAAGTTTTTCAAATTCTAAGCCCCTCCCCTCTGAGTTTCCATGGCAGAGCAGGGATTTGAACCAAGGTCTCCTGAATCCTAGTCTGTCACTCTATTCACGGCACCACACTGGGTATCCCTATATCTACATACAACTTGATATTTTGACCAGTGGTGATGTCGTAGTGAATTACCTGATAACTGAAGCTCTTGTTAAGGAACAGAATAATAAAATGAAGCAAAGGGATGTTTGATTGCATGGATGTGATATAACATAGTCTTCTGTAGTACTAGTTGTACATAGTTAAATATTAGCATGGGCCAGTACAAATCTTGATTGCTCCTTCACTATGGAAACTACAGTACAGTATATGTGAATCTGCTAGATTAAGGTTGCAGTCCTATATGCACTTGCTTGGGTATAAGCCCAACTGAACACAGTGTGACTAGCTTGTCAGTGAACAGGTGTATGATGTTATGTGACTTTTTGGATTGTTCTAGCAGCACAAATCCAGTGTGAGTTTACGATTCCCAGTGAATTTAGCGAGGTTTGTTCCCAAATATTTTTGCTCAGTATTGTAGCATTTGATCTCCTATAAATTTTAAGATATTAAAAGTTATATAAAATGCATATAATGTATATAAAAACATATACAGTATATATCATATAAGATACCAGCATAGCCATCTCTTGACATATACTGTACATTTGCTAGCATAGTAGCCATCATGGATAGAACTGTTCAGAAATTTTCTGTCCCAAAAGCTTCCTATTAATTACTGAAGGAAGCAGTACTTGATTGCTTTGCTACCAGTCTGTATGAAAGAGAAGACATCTGTGGGGTGTGTGTAAATTGCAGAATTATTACAAAACAACAAATGGCCTAAGGGCTTTAATTTCCTGTATTATGGAAAATATATATATCATGGTATTGCTGCAAACCCACTTCCATTATCCATATAGTCTCCCTGAAGGGTGCATTCAAAGGGGTCTGTTATTCTTGATGCTCAGAACCCAGTGCTGCCTTGGCAATTGAATTCTAGGGTTAAAAACTGGTGCCTGAACACTTTATTCTCTCCTCCCCAAGCCTGACCAAAATCTATCAGCATCTCAAACAGTCTCTTGTCTCCATGAGGAAGGATTCCATAATTGTGAGGCAGACACTGGAAACCTCTTTCGTCATCTTGATGGTGTAAAAATGAGTGATCTATCTGGATTGATTCATCGCTACTGAAAAGAAGTTTGGGAATTTATACTTCTGTAACTAACTGACCATAATTCAGACTTCAGAAAATAAACTGAACTATAGAGCAGTGGCAATATCACTCTGGAATTTATATTGAAGGTATACACTCACAGCTCATAGTAGTTGCTTTTGGAAGGGAAAAAAATATTTGTAGCAAAATATGATTTTGAGCCAACACATTACAGGTAAAATTTGACTGTCACTCTCTTGTTTCTGAGCTCACTCACTGTCAAACTGTTATGAAAGTAAACATGATTTATGAATTTGGAATTATAGGGAGGACAGGAAGCGGGAAACTGCTACCAAAGGAATTTTGACAAGCAGTGCAGCTTTCATGCCTGAAGACAAAATGGCTGAGTGCTCTTCTGAGGAGTTGCAGATGCTTTCTTGAACAAAATATTTTTCAAAAATTTAATACTGGGACAACATGATTTTTAATAGTTTGTCCTGGCTGTATTTGACACAGTATCTCTTTGGGGAACTATGGAATTGTCTTCAAAACCAGATGATCTCTTCTGAAAGTGCCACATCTGTTCTAGCCTTTAGAAGAAAAATATAGGAGAAATTAGGAACATTATAGACAGTGGGAAATTGAGAAATATAATATACTGTTGTCTAAGAGATTGGAGTCACCTTATATACACACATGGTCTTACAGACACTTACTGTATCACCTTTTTTAAAAGCCTCCTTAAAAGTATTAGTGTGTTTACCTATTAGCTGTAGAAGTTAAGGCAACTTACACCTTACCTAAAGCACAAAAAGTTCTATATGTAGGAAAGACTACCAGTTCCTACGAGCTATGTAGCACTAGGCCTTGAATAAAATTATATAAAATGTGAGCTTCACAGTAAGATGCGAATAGGACAATTTCACTCCAAGAATGTAATTCCTTTAAAGATCTGTGCATGAGTAATCAGATTTGGAAATTAAACCCATACTTAGCTTGCATGACCAATCACAAAACAGAAAGAAACCGATTTGCAAAATGCAACAGCAAGAAACACCTAGAGTAAGACAAATCTCAAGTGCGCTCCTAATGTTATGCTAACTGTATTGTCTGGTTTGACACCATGTTGTTTTGGGTCAGACTGGGGTTCTGGTGCAAAGGGATGTGTAACAGCTCTTATAAAAGAGAAAACCTAATAAAACCTACACACCTGGGGAGGCATCTGTTCTCATTGCTACAACACTACTTATTTACACAGTCCCCAAATTGTCAGGCACACCTCTAGCACATTTACCCTAAACTCAGCCACTTATGTTTTAGTTGTGTTTAAGACTAGGTGTTAGCCCAAGAACAACCATTCCCAAACCTTTCTCAACCAATGCCTATTTGTCTCAGCTGGTATTTATATTTTATTTGTTTGCTGAATGAAAACAATCTTTTTAGCGAAAACTCTGGCTTCTTCTGTGTAGTCTGCATAGACATGGGTGTTAAATATTCTCTTTTTTGATAGCTAAATATCCTTAAAGTTACATTTTAAGATACATAATGAGAATTTTTATTCAGGAACAAACAAATGGGGGTTATTTGGGATGTACAGTTAAACAAGGAAAAGGGACAGGAAATCTATCAGATATTTAAACAGAAGGGGAAACTATTGCAATATATATCCTTCGCAGTATTCACACAAAATTCCTAACTGCCATTTCACATAACATGCCTTCACACTCCAAACACACTAACCAATCTCTCTGCACTCAACAATCCATCATCTATCCGTGGGTCATGCTAGGATACACCCTATATACGCTTACTGATTGTGCATCCACAACTATACAACATGTTATTGAAGAAGAAGAAAAAGAAGACATACTCTGCCAATATTTAACAGATACTTAGGATTCTGGTTAAAACTTGTATCTTTTACATAATACCAATCAATGTTTTTATAATTTTGACTGACTGTGCCTAGCATTTTTAACAACAATAGCAGCAGCATGCCGTCAAGTAAATTCTGATTTATGATGATGCTTTTCAGGGTTTTCTAGTTATAGAGAGTTCAGAATTGGTTTACCATTCCCAAAAGCTTAGCACTATGGCAAGCCACAAAAAAGGGGGGATTAAAGGAAGAGACAAAATGGCATTTTTTACAGTTGCTTTTTGGTATTTGCCCTTTAAGATAATCAGCTGAGCATTGAGAAAGCTTCTCTCTCTCTCTCTCTTCTCAAAGGGTTTTAGAGTAGTGGCCTAAGGATCCTGCTTGACTTCAAAAGGGGGCAGTGTTTTGCATTATAGTCCGTTCCCAAACCACAGAAAAGGTGGTGAGAGAACTTCAAGAGAATCTCTTCCAGCCACAGTTGTCTCCCTCCTTCCTTTCAGGATAGGTTTGAGCTCCTGTGATGCAAATATCAGTAAATCCCATGCTTGGTACAAGGAGAAGCAAATGGCCCCATCTAGAGCAGGCCTTAATTCCAAACTAGACATTAGTTATTATTTTTTGTTTGAAATGCCACCTTTCACTGAGTCAAAGGTGAAGCAATGAGATAACTAACCAAAAAATATATTCTTACCGTCTACAAAAAGACCAGGCCATTCTGGTAGGAGCTGTCATATGATGAAGTAGAAATCCAGTTGCTGAGCGTAACAATCTACATCTTTTTTGTATGTTCAAGACAGCTGAAACAACAGACAAAGTTCAATGGAAGAAGCATAGGTATTAAATGAATTGAGTATTTTAGATGTATAATTGTGCTAATTAATAAATGGATAGAAAATCAAAGTCTTCCTCAAACAAGGAGAATAAGAATGTACAAAAGGAGCAACTTTAAATTGCCCATCAAGTGAAGGAAATGATAATATGTTTTCTTTTTCTCATAACACAAGAAAGTGTGGTCATCCAGTGACTCTACTAAGCATTGAGTCTGGGACAAGTTAAGGGAATTACTTGAGAGTAAATAGACAAGGATTTGCTGGCTGTTTCCCCCTTTGTTATTCTTCTCCTATTTCTTTCCTAATGTGGAAGACAACCTTCTGAAGAGAAGACCCTCCACTATCCATCAAGGCTTCTTATAGGATTTAGAATCCTGGAAATACAGTGGACCCTCGACTTACAGACGGCTCAACTTACAGACTTTTCGAGTTACAGACTTCTCTGGCCGCAAAATTTAGATTAGACTTGCAGCCGGAGAATCGACTTACAGACCAGAAAAAAGCCAAAATGGAACAAAAATAGAATAAAAACTGCCAGTTATGGGATTAATCGGTTTTCAATGCATTGTAGGTCAATCGAGATTCGACCTACAGACTTTTCGACTTGCAGCCACCATTCCAATATGGATTAATTTCGTAAGTAGAGGGTCCACTGTACAGGGCTCCCAATCACATGGCCACTTTCTACAAATAGAGGAGTCTTCGCTCTTCAGAAAGTCACCCTCCACTCATGGAAAATGATAGGAACAGTAGCGGGGGCAGGAGTAATACCTATCTTTTCCTCATATTTATTCAGTATTGCAATGGGATAGCTGAAGAGGATTATAGTGTATAGTTAAACAATGAAATGGAATCAATAAACTGCAGTATACCTCTAAATACCAGCTGCTAGGGGACACAAGAGGGAGGATGTGATTGTGCTCATGTCCTGCTTGTGAGCTTCTTTCTCATAAGCATCTGACTGACCACTGTGAGAAACAGGGTGCTGGATCAGACAATCCTTTGGTTTAAATCTAGCAGGGCTCCTCTTATGTTATTAGTATACATTTCCCACAGACACAGATAACAAGCATAGTTTCTTATAAACAGGCCTCTAGAAAATCACTCTGATTCCTAAGAGTTCCAAAGGATTTTAATCTTGGAATTCAAAATGCTTGGTACTGCCTTCTAGTCCTATTATCTCTTGCAACAAAAACAAAATAAGACAAAATAGTCTGCCACTTTGAAAACACACACACAATTATTTTGGCAGAACTATTTGTGCCCAATTTATCAGATGTATGAAATATAATTCCTTCCGGTCCTGCTGTAATTTCCATCTCTGGTCGCTCCAGAATAAAACCAATCAAGTACTACAAATCAAACCCTGTTAAAATGCTTAGGAGACACTAATGAATGAGGCAAACTATTTGGCATGTGTGGGATTCCAAAAATTAAGCAGAGGCACATTCCAGGAAGAGAACCTTATCATGCACTGAAGTCAGCTCTTGGATCCAACCTGCTCGCTCATGACTGCATTTCTAGAAATGCGTTTATTCCACCCAAAACACTTTCTCCCACAAAAGTCCCTGGACCACCATAGAGGAAAACAGAATTCTTGAGATCTCTACCTTTTTGACAATACACGGGCAGCTGCTGCAGTAATCTGTTGCCTACTCTATGCAGTGTTCCATTCAAAAAAGCAGGTCGCTTTGAGGAGTCTTTAGAAGCTACCCTGTTAGAACTGTTGATGACTTCCATCCTTGGCTCTTGGCATGAAACATCTTCATTGGCATGGAACAAATCTTTTTTACTGAACACCCCAACAAACTCAAATGTCGCTGTGTTGGCAAGGTGGCCATTTTCAAAAATATCTGTTAATTCAAAATAAAGCAAATGCACAAATATTGGCATAAAAGAGCTTTTTTAAGAATGGGGGAGGGATTGAGGGGGTTAAGCAGGGTTTATATATAAGACTATGTTTGTTCCATCAGTAAAGTAATATATATCAAATGAAAGCAATGGATGAAATGCAACATTACGCAAGTAAAGGTACTTTGTTTCTGAAAACAGCAAGATCTACCCACCATAAATTTATGTTCTTTTCCAACATAGCCAAACCATTGCTCCAACCATTTAAAGATTTAGCAGTGTTCTGCTCTGCTGACTCATAGGTTAAAGGAAGAGCTGGACAGAGAAGCCTGGGAGATAGGTTATACATAAGAAGACAAAGCATAGGATGCACTGAGCTTATTCTGAACCTGGAAATGTGTTCTTCATTCTAGCTTTTTTGAACTGACTCCTTTTACTTCCAATTCCACACTTAACCCTCATTTCAGTGGCCCTGCTTAGGGACTTGCTTGAACCCAGAACAAACAAGAGGTTTTACTAAAACCTCTGTAAAGTGTATAAAAGCCACTTCAGAAACACATAATTCCAGTTCATGTGAACATAGCTTCTCAAAATGGGTTTAAAAGGTAAAACAGTCAATGATAAATATAGATTTCTTTGAGGAGTTAAAAAAATCATTCATCTCATTCATACCTTGATCTTCCTGCAGCCCCTGAATCATTCAGGGCAGAAACTAGAATTGGTTTGAGCAGATGGGTTAATACTTTTAAAATTTCAGTAGGATTGTAGACCGGAGAATATTAAGAACAGCCTTGGGACTGAGGGTTATGAAATTTAATATTCTTCTTGTACTATTGAGTAAAACTAGCCTTTCTAGAGAAAAACCATAGTGATTACTATGTAACATAGTAAAAACATAATTTTTAAACTCATTTATTAGAAGAAAGCTTGTTTGTTTGTTCAAGTTAGATAGCTCCATAGTGCCACGTATTTTCATGCTGCAATGTACAAGTAATGGCCTTTTTGGCTTAAAATGAAGTGTTAGTGGAATGGAGCTCACTCACAGGGCTTCTTTAGCAGAAGTCAAGGAGTTCTAACAAGGGACATCAGGAGAAAATAAATATGGCTTCCTAAGACACCTTCTCCAAGTCACTAGAAAGCTTCACGATTCCTTTGTGTGAAAAAATGTGTGGTGTAAAGAATAAAAGCTTGTTTCTTTTACGCATCAGGTTAACACTTACTGTTTCTGTGTAAGAAGAAAAGCGCATCCCGATATCCTTGTGAGTAAAATTCATTCAAAACCTGCAGAAAGATATCACAAAACAAATGACACCAAGTAGCTTTACTAAAATGGAAATAATGGATCTTGGGAAGAATTTGGAAGGACTGAAAAGAATTGCATTTAGTACTAAGGGCACAATTTGGCTTCTTAATAATGTCAGCTTTTGTTTACTAAAAACAAGATAAGTATTTAGGTCTTATGCCTGTAAAAACATGTTTAGCATATCTGAGTGAGCAATGTCTGTAAAATTCTGACAAAGATTTAATAAGATTTCTCCCAGTTGGCAGGTAGGTTTTAGTTATACTGCAAAGTTAAGTTGCCCTCACACAACTGAATTTTTAAATTTTAATTTTCTATTGCTTTATCCCAGCAGGCTATATTTTGATGGTAGAGCACATGCTTTATATGGGAAAAGGTTCTGTTATTCACATTTGCAAGACATCTGCCTATTGAGAGAAGAGTCAGCCTGCGTAACCCTGGGCAAGCGAAAGAGTCCCAGGGTGGCCCCAAAAGAAGGAAATGGTAACTTCTGAGTACATTGTACCTAGAAAATCTTGACAAAGAACACCATAATTTAGAATTGACTTGATGGTACATAATTACAAGATAACACTGGGTTAGATGAAACAGTGGTGCCTGATTCAGCACAAGAGAGCTTTTTATGTTCCTACAAGGTTGAACATGATCTTTCAGGAAACCATTTCCTTTATATTCAAAGCAGCCATGTGTGGCTGCTAGTTACTGAAAAAGAAAGACAAGATGGGTACTTCTCAATCAAACCTTTATTGTAGAGTAGCCCTGCCTTGAATATGGAATGTTATGAGACGTCCCTAAAATGATGCTTCCTTTTGAAACTTTCCTGTAGGCTATTGCTTCGGCTATCTTTTTGTCTTTCCACAGAAAATGCATTGTAGAGGGAAAGAAGGAATAGAAACACAATGCTTTTTTTACTCATAGTGGAAGGTGCTATCTAGAGATGGGGGCATACGAATATGAATATCTCCCCACAGATGCAGATAATGTTACTGCTGCGAGCTCCATGGTCCCTTCCTATCTCTCCGTTGCTCACGATGGATTAGCCAATCTTCGACCTGGCAGAGAGGCTCATTATCCTGCCTTTTGCTAATCCATCACAAGCAACAGAGTGATAAGAACGGATTGCGGAGCTCACGGCGGTGGCAGAATTGTGAGTGGTCGGTCTGGCCCCAGGAGGCTGGACTGCACTGTGGGGAGATATTTGTATACAAATACCCCCATCTCTAGTGCCATCCATCTAGAAGTCCTAAAGGCACAAACAGAAGTTACAAGAGGTCTGCCATTACAGCTGAAAGCATGTTAGTGTTGCAGAGATGTGACTAAGGAGGAGGGTTCACACTCTTCTAGGCCTCTAAGTTTCAGAACCTGGAGTCAAAGGCTCTGCCACACCACTTCAGTTATATGCTTGTCTTCCATTCACAAAAGCAACTAAGGTGAAAATACAGGCACAGGTGCAAAATGCTTTCTAACTGGGAACATTAGGAGCTCTGGCTGGAAATGCTAAAAATCACTCAGATTATAAAATTGACAACCATGGGGGAGACAAACTGAAAGCTTGTCTCTTGTTATCAATTCAACATTGTGATTGGATTAAATGGGGGGGGGGAATGGAGCAGGATTTTTTTCCTGAGGATATCTAGACGACTTTTAAACAAAGGTGGGAAACCTTTTGGTTTTTAGGTATTGTTGGATTACATTTCCCATCTTCCCTCACCATCATTGGCCATGTTGTCTGGGGCATATGGAGATTAAAATAACATCTGGTGGGCCATATTTTGTAAAAAGATTCAGAACACACACACACACACACACACAAGGAAAGGAAAGTACAAAAAGATTCAGAACACACACACACACACATACACACAAGGAAAGGAAAGTATTGATAAAATGGTGAAACCAGCAAAGTACTATTGATGGAAGTTCATGGTCACAAGTACCTCATTCACTATTTTATCTTTCAGTCCCTGGCTGGCTTTCAAAAAGACCTTATGACCCAACAGACTACAGAATTCACTCCCAGCTGTAACCAATGCAGCTATCTACTGGATCTGAAGAAGCATGACCCCTTGTTAAGGAGATGTTATAACTGCTTATCTAACTGCTATGTACAAAAACCTTATGAAAGATACGTGCAAAATATGTGGTGTTTAACCAGTAGATCAGTCTGCAAATCTTAACATAAACTTTTCAGATTTTGCAAAATAAACATTTTGCTTCAATAAAGTTTCTTTTGATGCTCTGACATTCTTACATATGTCGCTAAACTCTTGATTAATTCTATTTCCTTAATTTGAAACTGTAAATCAGGGATGTTGGCAAATCTTTAAGTCTGAGTCAGGGTCTTTTGTACCAAGTCCAAAGCCCAAGTCCCTATTAAAAACAAACTTTTCCCCCTAGAAAAAAAAAGGGAGGGTGGGCCAAGTTGTGAGGCAAGTCTGAATCATTGGGGGAAAAACAAACTCCATTTGAGCCACCAGTGGGGCTTAAGTCTGGCTTGACAGCAAGTCCTGCAACTCGTCCCCATCCCTGCTATAAAGAGGGAGAAAAAGAGGGTGGGTGGTGAACCTGACTCTACTGATTAACCAGACCAGAGTTCTGAAAAGTTAACATTTGGGAATATAAGTTGGAAGAAAATTGCAAGCTATTGAAACATCCATCAACCTACCTACTGGTCCAGACAGACCAAAGCTTGGGAAAGTTCCTTTTTTGATTCTGAGAATTATACTCTAAAAAAGGAAACTATTCCTTGCTTTGACACCCAGAGATGGGTGATAAGAATGTGATTAAAGCAACTTACCCTGTGGCTGGGTGGGAACAAGGCATAGCCAATCCTGCACAAGTTCTCTATGGAAATCTGAATGCTTCCGTGGACAATATGTAAGCTGTAGAAGATGGCTGGACAATCTCGAGGACAAATGTCAATTTCCCCTGTAAAAGGTGAGACTGTGATAGCTGTCTCCACGTCAGAGCAAGGCTGCAAGTTGGTGAAACCTCCATCAACATACCGCTGCAGAAAAGGGACATGAATATTTCAAGATGATCACAGATACTAAGGCTGCAACTACACTAACAAAAAATGTGGGAACACTATTGGATTGTATTGGTCTGATTCACTTTGTTGTTGTTGTTGTTGACCATGTAACCTAAAAGGAAATGTAAAACCACCATAATTGGTGGCTGGTTAACGCAAACAGACTTGGGGAAACCCAAATTCCTTGGTGTGACTTCACAGTGAAAGAATACGCATTTCTCTCATTGTGCAGTCATTCCCTAAGTTAGGTGGAAATGAAACATAGATGAAGCAGAGTTAGTAACAGGGCAAGCATGTTACTATGTTTATCAATGCTGCTGCTGACATTGATTCTGTTCTAGTGGGAAATTATTTTATTTTATAACTGGCTAGTCTTAGGACTCTCTAAAGGAAACCACAAAAGTTGGACTTTGCAAGAGCTGAGCAGGGCTGTTGAAGACAGGATATTTTGGAGATTGATCACTCCTATGGTAGCCATACATCAGAGCTGACTTGATGGCACATAACAATAACAACAAGTCTTGGGATTGTGATATCTGATATCATGCGTTAGAGCTCTTTTTCTCTTTTACCATGGACCCCTTTTAAATATATTTTGTTGCCATGGACCACCAAGACTTAACTGAATATTAAATTAAGCAGGGGGTTGGACTTGATGGCCTTATAGGCCCCTTCCAACTTCACTACAGTGGTGCCTCGCTTAACAATTGCCCCGCTTTACGATGAAATTGCTTGACGATTAGGTTCTTGCGATCGCAAAACGGTGTTTTAAATGGTTTTTTTCATTTAACGATGATCAGTTCCCTGCTTCGGGATTTTCGCTTCACGACGATCAAAAACAGCTGATCGTCAGGTTTCAAAATGGCCACCGGCTGATTAAAATGGCTCCCCGCTGTGTTTTTGGGCGGATTCCTTGCTTTACAGGCAGCAAAAATGGCCACCCCATGGAGGATCTTCGCTGGATGGTGAGTTTTCAGGCCACCGGAACACATTGAGGGGTTTTCAATGCATTACAATGGGCTTTTTTATTTCGCTTTACAACGTTTTCGCTCTACAGTGATTTCGCTGGAACGAATTAATGTCATTAAGTGAGGCACCACTGTATTCTATGATTCTATGACTTAAAATCCTAAAGTGCATCAAATATTTATTTAAATATAATCTTCCATCTTGATTTAATCCCATTTATTTCAATGCATTTCCCTCCCACTCCCACAAGTTTGATTTTGTAAGTTATTTGCCATCAAACAGTTATTTTCATAACCAGTTTTTACTTCTGTTTGTTTTTAATGGAGGCAGGAGATTAGAAAATCCAAGTTTTAAACAAACAAGGGAAATTAAGATGTTTTATGTTTCCTTTTCTTTCTTTCTTTCTTTCTTTCTTTCTTTCTTTCTTTCTTTCTTTCTTTCTTTCTTTCTTTCTTTCTTTCTTTCTTTCTTAACTGCAAAAGTTCATAAGATTTCTTCAAGCCTTTGCACACCCTCTGTGAGGATAATGTGGGCTCCTGGGGTTTTGCAGACCACAGGTTAAGAACCTATAGTCTATATGAAATAGAGAACTACGGCATATCAGAAGGCCATCTATTCTAGCCCACTAGTCTAACAAAGCAGGGCGTGGTTCTCAACCAGCACAGCTTCATAAAATTTGGACCTTTTACTATAACTTTATCTCTCTGTGACCCTATAATATTGGCCTTAAAAAGGCAGGGCAGCCCAGATCATCTTGGTTATTTGTTTAAGTGAACTCACCACACCTCGGAAGGATGGAGGGATGAAGCCAGCATATATTGGGACAAAGCAACTGCAGATCAGTGCCTGTGAGAAGAGATATTACTGAAAGGTCGATATATCATTCAGCGTGAACAATCAATATTATAATATTCTTTGTTTAATATATCAGTTTCCAAAAATTATCATTATAGACCTTTATTCAGAACACATTGACTGAAGGATGCCTGCTATCTAGGATTATAGCAAAAATGACAAAATATTCGTATTAAAGTCTTACGTGTACTCTATAATGTACCTCTAAGTCAAAGTAATGTTTCCTCTTTCTGATGAAGTGAGCTACAGTCCATGAAACCAGATATTAAAAATTAGTCTTAAGGGATGCTACAGACATCTTAAGTGTTTTGATTTAAAGCAGTGTGGCCGAAAGAGCAATCTCAAGATAGGAAGGAAGAACAAAATGATAGATCCACCATTTCCAAAGCCCTATTGTTTATCCCAATCAAAGCGAGAGGTTCACTTTTCATTGTTTTTTTACCAGATGAATTTTTAAAAAGAGTTCTATCACTAACACTAGGGAGGGAAAAATTGTGTACAACATTTCATACTAGAGCAGTTGAGGGGATGAATAGGGCTCTTTCAATCCAAGGAAGAGATTTGGGATGCAGTACCTCCACCCAGTCTACCATGTGGTAGCCAACCACCACTAAGAGGAACATCACTGTTAGAAGATTTAAGCCTGTGGAGTTTTTGTAGGTGTAACTGGGGCTTCTAGGCCAGATATCATCTCTCCCATTGCACAAATGGTGCTCTTGTCATCCTCTATGAGCCACCACAATACAGCCTAAAAACACGAGATACCCTCCCTTGGGAGGCTACATTGGCCCTCTCCCTCTTGTCCTTCCAGGGACAGATGAAGAACATACTTTATTATTTTATGTATGTTTAAAACTGTTCTTTTAGTTTTTCATCTGTTTTCATTAGGTATTTTAATAGAAACATACATTTAATCCATTTTAATGGAATATTTTTTGGTGTTTTATCTGGTTTGGTTTTTTTTTTTTTAGTAATTTGAGAGCCACCTTGGGTCTCATAATTGGGAGAAAGGTAGCATATATATGAATGAATGAATGAATAAATAAATAAATAAATAAATAACTGACTGCTAAAACTGCACTTTAGGATAACCTCAGTTGACTCATTTTTGCTCTAGTAAGAGTTCAGGCTTGACATGATTGAGCACCCACTTTTCTCACCTGAATCAGCTCCTCTTTGGAATTATACTCAGAAACCACCACATTCTGACCATCTATCAACCGGGTAAGAGAAACATACAGCCTTCCTGTTGCCATCCGGTGAGAATTCTCCGGCAGAATTTGGTACAATCGTCGCTGTAGAATCCGAAGCACACTAAAACCAGGGGCAAGAGGACCAAGGATAGTTCTCCTGGCATGTTTTGCAGCTCCATATAAACATTTTTTTAGATCATCTGGCAGAAGAAAACAGAACACAAAAGCAAGCATTGATTAGGACATGGCAACAATTCTAACCATATTAGAATTACCAGCAATGAAATTATTGTGTTCAAATGCTTATAAAAATAACTATCTTATTTACAACAGAAAAGAAAGTACTGTGGGACAAAGTTCCTATGCTGCTACATGGAAGGAAGCCAAATGGATGGCAGGGATTTGGGGGGAGGGGAATCTATAATACAAAACAAACAAGCAGACAAATGACAGCTACACTAATGTATTGTTCACAGAACATTTTAGATATGCTTCTTTACACAGAGAAATCTGTCAGTTGCTTGTAAAATGTCCTAAATTGCTAGCTGGGACTACCTTATTTCTAGATCACTCAAATGCACCAGGAATGGTGTACAGGTGCTTGGGAGCAATGTACTGACATTTTTACTTTGGTACCAGCTGCAAGATTCTGGGAGTTGCAATCCACAAGTTAGAGTGGGGTGGTATAGTATATGAATAAAGAAGACATAGAAAGACACCCTTAATATTCTGGCTAGGAACTGAGAATCTTATCATACAATCACCTAAAAATGGTACCTGATTTCTATTTTCCAGACCCAAAATATTTGATAGGAGGGATAGTTTAACATTTGTTTCCAGCATGCTTCCCAGTGGACAGCTGTGCTATCAAAATCACTATGTAGCTATCCCACCTTTCCCTCTTTAATGGGTTTTTTTATGAAAAGAAAAAAAGGTTAAATCAGTGAAACCAGACAATTATAAGAAGATTCCTTTTAAAACTTGATGCATGTGTCAAAGTATCTGCACAATAAAAGCCTTATCTGGAAGAATCCTTCCATAATGGGGTAGTGCTAGGGTGATGCTCAGCATCCCAGAACATCCACATCCAACATAGTTAGCAATGCCTATGTGGTTCATTTTAAGTTATTTTTTAAGTTCTCCTCTTAGTCTCTCTCCTTGTAAAGATATATTTCCTTTCTTCAGCTGAGATCTTTTCCAGACCCTTATTTTTGTTCTGTTTGTATTCACTGCTGATGCAATTTCATATCCTGTGTCAATTTCCACCCAAAATACTCTTGTGTGTCTTTGTCTGTCTACATGCACATGTTGGGCTACAGTGAAAGTTTGTGTTCCAATTTGTTTTATTTTTTTTCCCTATCTGTCATGTCATACTAGCACTATCCCAGATTTCAATAAATAAAATAAAAATAATATGTATATTAAAAATAACTCCACAGCAGCAGTGGCTATTGTCTGTGAGAGGGAGGCAGCACAAGGCAACAGACAGAATTTATACTGACAGAGGAGTTCACGTACCATCTGTCGAAACAATTCTGAATACATTGATTTGATGTCTGAGTTAAAATAAGCAACTCTCTGGCAGTCAAGTACAATATCTCATTTCCAATTCAAAAACACATGATTCTGGGTTTAAAAAAAATCTGTACTTCCATGTGTAGACAACTTGTTGAAAATCATTTAAAACATGCTAAACTCAATTAAATTATGTTTTTTTCATAATGTTTCCCCCCTAACCATACTCTAATTTTATTCCAAGAATTACAGGGAAATAGATTGTTGCAGCTTGTTACTTTTTGTTATAATAATGCAGGAAAAAACAACCACAATTATTTCTTGTGGCACCTTAAAGAGTATTTGGCATAAGTTTTCGTGTATGGCAATCAACTGTCACAGATACAAACAGTCTCCCAGCGTTTATGCCAAATAAAAATTATTAGTCTTTAAAGTACCACAAGCCTCTTCATTGATTTTCTCTCCAAATGACATAATACAGCCAAACTAGCCCTATTACATTATTTAATAGCACCAAACCCTCTGTTTCACTTGCAGTACTAATTCAGGACCAGGGAAACACTTGAGGGGCAGAACTGAACACTTCATTGATCATTTTCATCATTTGTTACATTACTTATTTTTATCATTAGTTTCTTTCCATCATTACATCCTGCCTTTCTTCCAATGAGCTCAATACAGCATGTGTCGCTCTACTCCTCACCCACTTCCGAGCAATAGTTTTGCCCTTTTTGTAGTATAACTGACATTTTAATTACTTTTATAGTTATATATGTGACCTCAAAAGAGGATAATTACTAACATAGTTCCTATGCTGGCTTTTGTTGCTTCACTGTGTTATCTTCCCGGTGTTGAGGCAATCTTGAAGTGAATGGGAGAAAAGTGTGTTTTGTTCTGCAAGTCAGTTACTTTAGAGCATTCAAAGTGATTTTTAAAAAGCAATTAAATGTTGCTATTCCACTTACTTTCAAGAAACAGGTGATTATAATTGCAAGTAATTATTTTTCAAAAGTTATTTTACAACCTGTACTCCCCGCTGTATCTTCACAATAATCTTATGCAGTATGTCAAGCCCAGAGGGGGCACAATCAGCTCTCCTGAATCTCAGTAATTTTTGTACAGGTAGCTGGAAAAAGTAATTTTCTAAGGGACATGTTACTTGGGAATCTTTTTGCTTCATAAATGGACAGCAATTATCCCAACTTCAGACCTATTCCTAACCAACAATCCTTTTCTAGATAAATAGTTGTAAATGTTTACCAAAACCATCAGTGCATCTCCAGACTCTGGAAAATATGCTTAATTTGTTAAGTACCACCCCACATTACAAGTCTTAAAGTAGAGGAGGGATAGCTGACATAACATTACAATTAAACTAGTCTTAAATTTATATGTCCAATAAACACTGTTGATAATAGTGAGATTCCATGGGAATGGAAGTCATGGAGTCAATCCAGTTTGCATATTCTATCGTCATACAGTCAGTGACCCCTAAGGCTTCTCTGGAACACAGAGGCAGGCAGACAAGTAGGCAGGCAGACGGATTAGATGAATCAAAAATATCACAGTGTCCTGGAGATACTGGGTCCTGGGAATTAGGTCTGTTTGAATACATATTAAGGGACACATTAGGTTCGAGTAAAGTCTTGGTGTAAATAAACTTGAATTATGACAACAAGGCCAAAAATTTACAGTTTGATCATCACATCTATAAACTAAAGAGTCACTGGACTTCTTTTGGCCTGGAGCCCAGGTTAGCAAGAAGTACATGAACTCTTAAATCTAAACAGACGATACTAATGAGGAGGTCTAACTAGTACAGTATAATGAGATCGGGTTAAGTAAGCCCACCCAGGCTAAAATGAAGAGTTAGGACCTACCTAAGTACCTACCTACCTACCTTCCTTTTCTTTTTAATATTTTGAGGAAAAGGTGGAAGAATTGCACAATAGGTTTGGACTGGTTGTGCTAGGACCTATCCATCTGGAAGCACCATCTACTGAGCTGTACTCTTATTGACCTGTAGTATTTCCCCCTTTCTTTGCTCTCATTACACAACGTGGTGCTATTCTTATACAGATATTTATTAATAAGCGCTTGAAGGAAAAGCTTACTCATTCTGCTCCCACTCAAACTCATGAAGGATTTAGCTGTTCATTTAAATAGGATCTTGAGGACAGGCTCTTTGACGGGGTACAAGCCGTCTACTGATCTAAGAGATTCCCAAACTCTGACAGCAATGAGTGTCCAGGGAATTAAAGGACTTATCTTTAAGATAATATGTCTAACCCTTAAGATTCCTCAGAGCAGTGGTAAGGCTGTAGATCTTGGGGTGACAATGCAATAATTGGAAGGGTTTTTGACATACACCCCAATTGTTTTACAACAATACTGAAATATATTTTACAAGTTAAATTAGGCCACAAAAATGAGCAATATTAACCATAATCAAGAGTTTTCCTAGATAAATGTTTGATTGCCTGAACTTCACAAACAGAAACATAGGGAAAAAAGCTGCCTGGATATGCCCTCCTTGGATATTAATCACATGGAGGTAGATCTTGTCTTTATTGCATGAGGACAGACGGATACAAATGTACCTCCATAAACCTGTTCATTATATAAATTACACAACTGAACTGGGAGTCTTTTTTACTCAGGTCCGAAAGTATGTTATAGATAATCCATCATTTGAGTTCAAATCATCTTAGTTTTTAAGAAACACAATTAAAGTACGTAGTCTCTCTTTTTGCATCTAAGAAATCAGAATTACAAAAGAAGAACAAGATATATGTTCAAAGAAGAGTCTCAAGAAAGCAAGCTAATTTGTAAACCCTGGGAGGTGAGAAAAAGTCCTGCTATAACAACCACACATAGCCAATACATAAAGAATTCTTTCTTCTAGTGATGAGTCATCTCCGACCTACAATTGGGCTCCCAGGAGCAAAAAGATACTTTAAATTCGGGGTGGTCACCATTCTCAGGGTTGGAGACCAACTTCTCCACTCTGCAACCAGCAGGGTATGTATTTCAATGCTGCCAAACTTTTACAGAAGCAAGCAGATACTTGGTTTTAAATGGAAATTGTGTTTCTTGGAGCTCAATTCTCCATTACAGTAAAGTGAACATAAATTTGGAGTCACTGTTGTTTTGCTAGTGGTATTGTTTAATTCAACACCGACATGTGGTACAGCACTGTTTGTGCAAAATGGATGTGTGGTGGGGGAGGGAGAAGAGAGAAAGAGACAGATGGCCCATGTGTTTCTACCCTAATCTTAAAAATGAACAAATTTCTAGGTGCTGTGTCTTATCACTGAGGTACATTTGTATCACCGGTGTAATTTATGTTATTGATTTATATTATTTTTGTTAGTAATAAAGGTTTTATTTACATCTCACTCCTGATAATCATGCCCAGAGTTTCTAACAACTACATAACAAAATTAAAACCACAGATTATGAATACCTAAATCACAAATCTATAATCATGGATTATACACTACAACATCACAAATCACACATGTTTAATATTACAAATAGCTAAAAACACATATTCTTCTAAGTTGAGAGACACTTGGTCTGAATTACATGAAAGCACTCATAATCATATTCTCACTGCTATTTTATTCCTAAAATATGGAGGCATATGAATGTCCTTCAGCAAGAGCAAACACAACATAATTAATTTTAAAAACTGAAGCTGAGTTCAGTGAGTTTCCAACAATTCATTACATTGCTATTTGATGTGTATCAATTATAGTGGCTTCCATAGAGCTACACAGACATTAAAGTAGTTTTTAAAACAGTTCTTTTAAATTAAACCTATTAGGATATCTATTTGTCTATGACATTAGTGGACACTCATTAGAATCAGATATCCTTGCATATTTGTAATTTACAATTAAAGTTTTTTTTAATCAAGATGGGTCCTCCTTGCAACAAACACTCCTAACCATCTGTGAAATTTCACAGTAAATTGCTTTCTTATACATGTAAGGACATCCATAATAATCCAAATCAATGTGCCACTTACCAAGACTGAGTCCACACACCACAGCTGCTGCTATGACAGATCCAGATGATGCTCCATACACCTTTGGTGCAGATCTCAAGATTTCAGGAGCTTGTTCCAATAAGCCCTGGATCACACCTATTTCATAGATGGCAAGAAAACCACCACCTGAAAAAGAAAGAGAAAATGGAGCACCAGACATCCTTAAATCTGTTTCAGTCATCCTCAGTAGAACAATCGCAGAGTTGTCAATCTCTTCGTAGATAAGGCTTCCATATTATTTAAATGCCAACAATACAATTCAGACAGAAAGAACTGCAGATCAAAAGGCCACTGTTGCTTGTAGAAATTCACTTATTTTGCTTCTTTTATTCTGGGTCCAGAGCTATGTCCTGACTACTTCTCTGGCTAAAAATAAAGCTCTTCACCCATTGAAGTAGCTTTAGAGCAATAAGGCCACGCCTATCTTTTTCTTTTTTGGCTCGGAATAAGGCTCCAGTATTTTTGACATAGTGATGGAAGAATGAGTCTTGTATCATGTATTCAAAGTTTGGTTGGAATTTCCACTTTCTTTGCAACGTTTTTAATGCTGCATTTTCTTTCCAGGTCTTCCTCAGGAGTGTTTTTCTAAATTGGATCTTCTCACAATCTCTTCTTAGAAACAGCTCAGCACTGAACGAGCAGAGAGATTTGTACAACCAACTCAGAAGCAGAAGCTGTTGTCCGGTGGATTATGCAGTAGGCAACAGGGCTGTGTTACATTTGAAAACCTGATGAATTAACTCTCCACTGGCACCAGGCAAGGGAAAAATTCCAGATGCTAACTTCTTTTTTCATCAGTTAACCAGTTCTCACTCAAACACAAAGCAATTTTCAGGATTGTTTTTTGACAGGTGTGAGTGGTAGTGAGCACAAGAGGGTATCGACCATACCATCTTGACTGCTACCATTGATGATGTCAACATTCAGGGTGGCCTTTGCTATGTAAAGCCTGGGATCCTTTTTCGTGCTGGCAACACTGGCATGATATTATACAGCAATGCCATTTCTTTTCTTGGTGTTTTGAATCATAGGTACTGTACAGGAATACAATATCTCACATTCATAAAACAGGGTTTTTAAAGAGTTGAATCAACATATAAAAAGGCTTCCCCAACATTAGATCTGATCATTTTTAACTTTCACTCAAACCTCTACAAGGAACAGGACTTTTGCTTCCTGACACAGCCTGCTAAGGTTGCCATGTGTCCTATTCTACAGAGGAGAGTCCTCTTGTTGAAAGGGAATTAGAGGTATCCTTTGTCTGAACAGGGCTGCCCTGGGAAAGTCAAGTAGCTCGAGGTTGCCTGTGGAGTTAGCAGGCACCAGACTGAGGTGGCACATGGATCAACTAGATATAAACCCAGCATAATGCTTTGTTGTTGTGTAGTCGTTTAGTCATGTCCGACTCTTCGTGACCCCATGGACCAGTGCACACCAGGCCGTCCT